CCGTACATGAGCAAATGGCAATGCATTGCCTGCCCTCAGCTGGCTTATGCTCTAGGAGAGGAATGGTCAGGCCACATCTCCACAGGAACCAGGACGTGGCCTTGGGCTCCAGGGAGGGACAGTAGGAAACACACACAGCCTCCCACGAGGGCGGTTCCCGCGGCGCCACGCTGCTCTGGCTGGGGCCCTAACAGCACTTGGTGCCTCTGTCCAGCCCTGGCCTGGAGCTGTGTCTGCACAGCTTCCTCCTGCTGGTCCTCCATACTCATCCCTCTGCAGCTCAGAGATGTGTGGACCTTTCTCTGGGCCACACAGCTGCGCCCTGGCCCCTGTGACCTCCAAGGCCCTGCTCTTCCCACACCAGTGACTCCTGCAGCGGCCTCAGCTCTTCCTTCTGCTTTTCTGGGGGAATGTTTTGGTCTCCAAGACTGGGTGTGGGCCGAGCCAGCCGAGCCCACAGTGGCGGACGGCTGTGTCAAGTCCGCTGGCAGACAGTACTTCCTCGTCAGCTCTGCCAGACCTCAAGCCAACCCTGGGACAAGTGCGTCAGCTGCACCCCAGGGAGTGAGCCCCTGCTGGGCCCCATGGGGGCCTGGCTCCCCAGCCTGCTTCCTGCTCCTCCACCTCTGTGCTCCTCCTCCTCTGTTTGTGCTCTGCACCAGGGAGGCAGGAGCTTGGCCCTCACTGGAGGCGGAGGCGACTGAGTGTGATGAGGACCTCACATCCTGCCACCCTGGCCGGTGCCAGGCCTCCTCCTGGGCCTCCCGCTTGTTTTCCCCAGGTGTGGGGGAAGGGCCTTCATTCCTGCCTCCTCCCCAGGCATCTCTGAGCTCTGGCTTCCATCCCCCTGCCAGGAGCCAACAATGGCAGCTCCTTTCAAATCCTGGAAAGGAAGAAAAGGAAGCAAAACCGGATCCCTCCTACCTCAGGCCCTTTGTTGGGGTGCCTGCTCCCAGGCCTTTGATCTCTACGAGCCATTGTGACCCCTGCAACACCAGGCCCATTGAGGGCTCCCCTCTGGCCTCATCTGAAAGCCCCAGTCTACCTCCTGGTCACACTGTCCTGCTGTCTCACCGTAGAGCACAGGGGAGAAGGGCCCCCTAGACACAACACAAGGAGGGGTGGGGGGGCACCAAGGCTGTTGTATGATAGAAATTCAGCAGGCTTTTTGCTCCAGAGAGGGAAACGGTGGGCTGGGACACCTAGGAGCGGGCTCTCACACTTGGGAAACTTGAAAGGTAGTATTGTTATGGACAGCAAAGCTAGGTAGAAAATATTCTAGGCTGTCAGACATGGCCTCAAGGGCATTGAAACCTTACAGCAAAAAGATGTCCAGGGAGATTTCTGTTTTAGTCTCCAAAACTGCCTTCCTTCTAATGCTTAACAGACAACGTTTTAACTTTTCTTTTGTATTTTATGCATAAAAGGAAACAAAGCTTTGATAAAATAAGTAGTAATGAAATGTCAAAAAAAAAAGTGAAATCCCCCTGCAGCATTGGTCTGAGAAACATCAGTTGGAGGCCAGGCCTCCCCGAGAGGAAGTGGCTAAACCTGACCAGCAGACATGGCCCGCCAGTGGGCCACCGAGAGCCCAGATCCCTCACCTACCCGAGAAGTTCTTTGATCTTTCAGCCCAATGAGCATGCGACCTGCTTCCCTATTGGATCAATGTTATCTAAGCGGCTGTACTAATGATCTTATTGGTTGGTCCCAGCTGTAATCCACATTGTACCCATGTGAGTTTTGCTTTGTACACTTTCCTTATGGGGAGGTCCCTCAGCTACCCATTAGAGACCCCTTCTCTTCCTCCCACAGGAGGTTTCTATCTCTCAATAAATATTGCCCACTTTTAACCTCTGCTGTCCCTAGACTTCATTCTTTGATTTTTAGAGAACACAACCTGGTGAATCAGACATTGAACAGGTTGAGAATATAAAGTCTCTCTTACATCATGTTGGACGTCTGGTATCTTCCCTGTAACAGCAGGAATCGGACCTGGCCTCTGACAGATCTGCCTTTTGCTTTTATAAAAATCTCACTGTTCTCTTTTTCTGGCCCCCACATCCCCACTGCTCTAGAAGAGTGGCTTTGGAGGAGAGGCCGTACTCATCCACACACCATTCTCCGCCCTGGACCTGGGGCCATGCCTCTGTTCTCTTTGAAGCAAGCCTCAGCTGTCCAGGGAGAGAGGCCTGCAGAGAGAGACCCTCCCAAACGCACATCCCTCTGCCCCCATGCTGGACCCCCGGGGCTAAGGCATCAGCAGACTGCAGCAGGGAGAAATGTGTTGGTGGGTGAGCTTGCGCAGCTCATGAGGGTGCCTCCTCCCTGCTCTAGGAGCAGCTCCAAGCAGAGGACCCCCAGCTCCCTTGACCTAGCCAGACACTGCCTCAGTCCCAGGGATGCTGCGAGGAATCTCTTATGCCCAACATGGCTCCTTAGTTTTTATGGCAGCCAGGTGCTAGCAGCCCCCAGCCCAAAGGGGTATAAATGCTAGCTTCCCACCCCACTGTGAGGAGCAGACTGAGGCAGAGAGGCCTCTTTCCCTGCTCTGGGAAGGGGTGTGCACAGCCAGGAAGGCCACTTGGGCTCTTCTGGTTTCTAGAGGTGTGGATAAACTATCTGGCTGAGGATTCCTCTGGGACTAAGGGATTCGGGGGGGGGGGGGGTCAGTGATGTAGGGTGGGGCAGCTGATGGAGCCTAAACAGCTTATAACTGGGGAAGCCTGACCCCCAAGAGCCAGGGGACCTTCACCCCCACACCAGCCTCACCTTTGCCGTGAAGTGCCCAGGCTGCCCAGCACAGTGCCCAGGATTCTACCTGTGCCCAGGGCTTCCCTTGGCACTACCACTGTGCACCTCTAAAGCTCTGATGGTTCCTCAAGCTCTCCACCACGTGGTTCACTCACCATCTGCTAAGTCCCCCCTGCCTCCCCCAAGTCCCTTCCCATTGCCTGGCCACTGTCCCCTCCTGGTTTCCTCAGCAAACTTCTCTTCATGCTCAGGAGCCCACAACAGACATTACTTCCTCCAGTGGGCCTGTTCTGCTTTCACTGTCCAGGTGAAGTCCTGCTGTGTTCTCCCTGGCCCTGAACTCGCACTCAGAATTTTGGCTCACTGATGAGTCTCTGCCTTATCCACAGTTCCTCACTGACCATGTGCCCTGGAGCACAGGGAAAGCTCCAGTTCACTCACTGGTAGAGGTGCAGTGCCTCCCCATGCCCTGGGGAAGGGGCTCAACATGCATTTGCCAAAAGAGTGAAAAACTGAATACTGAGTAAGAGAAGGTAGTGTCCTTCCCTGTCTGTCCCTCCTGAGACAACCCTCCGAAGGCCTTGGTATAAGCATAAAGACTCTGGCCTTTGCCTCACAATTCCACAAAAATATATAATTACTCTTATTTTACTTGGAAAGCCAGAGGTATCCCCTCTTAGAGTGGGCCTCAGTGAACAAACCCCAAATCTACTCTAGATCTTGTGTGAAAAACTACCTACCTGAGAGCTCCGTGCTCCCTTGCTGTCTCCCAAACCTGTGTGAACTGAACACACATGTTCTCCTGTTTATCTTTTTCTTGTCAATCTCCTACAGGGCCTCTTCCAACCAAGAATTTATGAGAGTTGAAGTAAATTTTTTTACCTCTCCTACACTGTCATTTGGCCATAATGACAGAGGTCCTGCCAAGGCCCAGCTAACCTGACATCTCCTTGGGTCCCCAGGGTCCCCTAACTCAGTCATCTGGGGCAGCAGCAGGAAAGAGGGCTCCAGGCGACTGCAGCAACATGGCACCCAGCTGAGCCCCTCAGAGCAGAGAGGCCAGGATGCTGTTTCCATTCCTTTGGTATTGTTTCAAGCCTGGCTCCTTCTGGCTCCCGGGTGGAGTGGGTGAATGAGGCGAGTGACGGTAGGCAGAGAGCTTGGCAGGCAGCGGACTGGGCCGGCACCTCCACTCCATGGCAGCTGTGGGGAAGCTGGCGTCTCCCGAGAAACATGACCATGACCACAGCCAGGAACACTGCCAGGAGAGGCTCTGCCTTTGTCTGCAGTTGGGAGGCCCAAGAAGGGCAGGAGCCCCTCCTTGCTGGCTTTGAAGCTCAGTCACAAGTCCATTCTAGCAAGGGGAGGGGTGCTATGCACCAAGTTCAGGGAATCTGTTTCTTGCTCTGCGGGTCTCTGTCAGTGCTGGCTGCCCTGGTGTTGGGGTACAGCTCCCTGCGATCCCCCTGATGCAAGTGGCCTCTCTGCCTTGCTATAGGCAGAGCCCTGGACAAGAAGTCCCTGCATTTTTAAAGACTTACATTTGGACAGTCACTGAAGAATACCTTTATGAAAAGCTTTATCACACAGTGTTTCTACCAAGGCTGTGTTTGCACTGAAAACAATCTGGTATTATACTATGTGGCTATTTCTAGTCGGACCATCTATACTGCGATCTCACAGAGAAGGAACAACTCTGATTTATCTCTAGATTTTCCGGGGGACCTAGGACAGAGCTGGATGCTGACATAGCTTCACAGCATCAGAAATGCCCCAACAGGATTTGTCCCCAGATCCAGGAACTCCCCTTGCAATGGAGGCTCTGGAAGTCCCTATGGAAGTAGACGGGGTTGGGGACAGCATTTCAAGAACACCTGACTACACAGGAGACAAATTGGCCTCACATCTGGAGCTGCTTTCAAGGGCAAATCTACTATGGGACGGAGAAATACAGCACAATTTCTGATATCAGACAGAAAAATTAATGTCTCGGGCACAGGAAAAAGATCAAAGCCACTGATCAAAGATATGGATCAGACAGGCGTCACCACAAAGCTGGGTGTTAGTCCTCGGGAGGAACCACCAAGGGGGAGTGAGGAGGCTGCTATGACACAGCAGGGAAGGGAGAGGGGAGAGTTGCACACACATGTGAGCAGGGACCCACATCAGAAACCAAGCCCTCAGCGTGCAGTGGGTGCTTGGTGTGTCCCCAAGGCTCCTGATGGCTCGAGGGCAGTGCCCCTTACCCAGTGTGTATGTGGTGCCTGAGAAGCCACGGTCACTGCCGATGCCCAGGAAAGGAGAAACCACCTGCTTCACCAGCTCCTCCAGCTGCAGGAAGCCCTCGCTCGGGCCTGTGGGCTCGTGAACGCTCTGGAAGTGAACATCAGACAGAGGTCAGTGAAGACGCCTGCTCCAGCGAGCATCTGATGCCCTCCCCTGGACAGGGCAGGAGCCCCCCTGGGCCTAGAACAAAGCACACTGAGTGCCAAAGCCCTTGTCACTTGTCACAGTGGTTAGAACAGTGCATGGGGACAACATGGTGGCCTCTCCCACTGGGCTCTACCAAGGCAGCCTGCAGGGGACAGTCCTGGCTCCAGCTCTGTGACCCACGGCTGATCCACCCTGCAAGGGAACTGTAGTAAGCACTTCCCATGAATTCATACACAGATGCCCCCACCAACCAGGCAGAGGGGTGCTTTCACTCTCCCCTTCTATGGATCAGAAATAAAGACACAGAGCTAGCCAGTAAATGACAAAAGCCCTAAGCACCTGGCACCCAGCCCATCTTCCTGCCACTTCTTAACAGACCAGAGACAGGGAAAGAATATGGAAGAGTTCAGTTGATGAGAGGGAGCGGGTTCTAGAATTAGGCCCACTGGTAGCAGAACAAGGAGCCGGTTGAGAAGGCCAGCTTGACAGGAGGCCTCGGGACGCAGCCTCCAATAAATGCCACCCACAGTGCACACACTCAGTGTGACCATCTATACTGAACCAGAAAGAAGCCAGTGCTTAGTGCATGTAGGGACGCAGCAGGCTCCTTGGCAATTCACCTTCCATACTGGAAAGGCACTGAAGGCTTTCTCTCCTTCACAAGGCTGCAAGGAAGCAGAGTCAGCCGGCCAAGGACAGGGGCCTGAGCAAGCAGGATGGGGCTGTGCTCAGCTAGCTCATCATGTCAAATTCACGAAGCAGATTTTGCAAGGTTTTCTCTGAAGTGGAAATGCTCTGCTACACTGAAGTGTTTAAGGGCTGGAGCAGGAAGGAGATGAGATGGTCAAGGAGTGAACCGGAAGTGGTGACTCCTGCGGTCAGGAGCCAGGCGAGGTAAAGCTTCCAGAGGCACAGGCCTTCACTGCCCTTCCCACTGCATCTCCACAGATGAGTGCAGTGGGTGGCAGGAGGCTCCGATGTGGAAGGAAATGGAGTTAGCGGAGAAAAAATGGGGGAAATAAGGGGAAAGTTACACACACACACACACACACACACACACACACACACACATACATATGTACTGGAAGAGGCCTCCAGGCAGCAGGAGACAGGGAGCCTATTCGTGCTTCCCAGGAACCACACCAGGCCTCAGAAGCAGGGCAGTGTCAGCCACAAATGACCTGGACTAGTTCTCCAAGCCCAGGAGACTGTTTTTGTTTGTATTTTTATTTTATTTTTTGGGCAGAACTGGAGACTGAACTCAGTCCCTTGCACTTGCCAGGCAAGTACTTATTCTACTGAGCTATCTCCCCAGCCCCTTTTGTTTGTATTTATTTTGAAATGTATTTGGTTGTTACAGGGTCTCACGACACAGCTCAGATTTACAGTGATCCTCCTGTTTTCAGCCTCCCCAGCGCTGGGATTTTAGGCATGTGCCACTATGCCCGGATTCTGTGGGCTCACCTCGCTCTGGCGATGGGGCTGGCACAGCATGTGGTGCCTGGGATCGAACATGGTCCCTGCACTTGCCTAAACAGGCACTTAGTCTGCTGAGCTATCTCACCAGCCCCCAGGAGACTGTTTTATTCTTTCCAGGTTCTCTTCTAAGATTCTGCACACCCCAGGCAACAAATGCACGGACAGACCCAAAAAAAAAAAAAAAAAAAAAAAAAAAAAAAAAAAAAAAAAAAAGAGAAGCCCCCAAAGGTAAAAGGAAAATGTGTGATGAACACGACTTGCATGGCCGCTTCTCCTAGGAACCGGGCTGCTGCCCTGCACATGGCCCTTGCCCGGATACTACACCAGCTCGGGAAGTATTGTGGTACAGCACAAATGATGACGCAAGACCCCTGCAATGTTCAAGTAGCAGAAAGAATGCGGATTTCGTGATAGGCAACCAGGCAGTCAGACCTATCCTACCTGGCTGGCCGGGGCCCTCGGGGCTCTTAATCCTTGAACAGTTTGAGGACACTGCCCAAACTGTACTCTGCCTATGGGAAGAGACACCACTCAGATAGTTTGGGAGGAAGGAGTTGGTTCAGAAACACTTTGGAGGGCTGGGGAGATAGATCAGTAGAATAAGTGCTTGCCTGGCAAGTGCAAGGTCCTGAATTCAATCCCCAGTACTAGAAAAAAAAAAAAAAAGTAACACTTTGGAAGAGCAATGGAAAAGGGATAGCTAAAGGCTGAGGAAGGGCCTCTCCTCCTTACTAGCTCCTTACGCTAGGTCATTTTGGGGAAAGGACTTTCAGATCTCCTAAAGCAGTGGCAAAGAAGGATTGGAGAGGGGATGAACAGCCCTTAGTACAGGGGCTAAATTTCCTGCAATAGGAATAGCCCCAGGCCGTGCCACCTGTGAAAGCATCCTGATCCAGGGGCTGGCCCTGGGCTCAAGAACATGGACCTAAGCTGGGGAAAGACCCGCATCCATCTGTCACTGTCACATGCCCAGAGCTCCACAGCTCCCAAGTGGGGGAGAGCACAGTGCAGAGGACTATGGCCAGGTAGCCCAGAGAGAACTGGAGCCAGCACCCCATTGGGGCACATCTGTAACCCCAGCTCCGAGAAGCCGAGGCAAGGGGATCACTTAGGAACTAGCCTGAGTAACTTAGGTACTTAAGAAGACACTGTCTGAAAATGCAAAAAAGGACAGGGAGTGGGGCTCAGTGAGAAAGCCCTGGCTTCAATTCCCAGTACCAGGAAAAGCAGGAGGAGGCGGGGAGTATTCACAAGGATGGCTGACCAGTTGAACCCCAGGCACATGCACTATGATGCTAAGTTAGTGAGTAAATCTCTCTGAACCTCCACCTCTGCTTGAAATGTGAAACACAGTGGTACAGGCACTGGAGGGACAGCTTCCTTCCCCCACTTTCCAGAAATCTCTTGTGACCATGGAGCCTCTCTGGCTGCCCTTTTGTGTGCTGAGAGAGGAAGCCTGGCAGGGCCATCAATCGTGGTGGGACTGGAAGCCAAGGACTGGGGTCAGTCCTACCCGGCCTCTCACTAGCTGGTGTCATCAGTCACTGAGCAGTGTTTAGTGAGGACCTACTGTGTGCTAGTGATGGGGCTGGGTGCAAGGATAAAGTGTGAGAAGGAAGCATGAGGGTCTGCCTCGGAGGAAGGAAGCCCAGTGTTCCAAGCAGAGGGCACAGCGCGCATCAAGGTCTGCTGCAACAGGGCAAGCAAGGCTGGCTCCAGGGAAGTCAGTTCCAGATGAAGCTGGAGATGCAGCAGGGCCCAAGGCCAGGGTACAGTCATGCACTGTGTCCCGAACTAAGGTCAGCCAAGTACTGCTGGAGAGTTTGCAGCTGACCCTCAGAGAGCAGATGGGGTGGAAGCCAGGGCAGAGGGAGGAGGCGAGCAGTAGAATCTGTCTTTTAGGGCTCTCTGCAGACAGTGACAACTTCCTTATGGGGTTATCAGGCTGTCCAGTGTGGGGCCCAGAACCTAGGAATGTGCTGGGCATTTTCTCTGGAGGAATAGATCCCCCCACCCCAGCACCCACAGCTGAGAAGCTCACCTGCAGGAAAGCATCAGCTCTCCTTCCAAGACCGTAAAGGAATGTCTTCTGGTCCCCAGAATACCATCAATGGAAATGAGAGGGTGCAGGCCCAGCTTCTCTAATCTTATGATCCTCGGGGGTTATTTTCTCTGCTCCTTACTTGGGAGTCAAGCTCTGATTTCAACTTCTCTGATGCAACCTGCACACATACTTTCCTATTTCCCGTCTTTTTTACCTTCCCTAAATAAAGATGTTCAAACTACCATTTCTATTCCGGCCAATTACACCCACCCTTTTCCTGTAAGGCAGCTCTTCCTCCTCTGGAATTACAGGAAAGAAGACAAATGCCCTGAATGATGACCTGGCTGAGAGAATCAAAAAAGGACACCAGTCGGGGGCCTTGTGCCTGACACTCCATTCCTGCCCTGAAGGTGGCTGGGGTCACCGTTAGCTGGATCAGGAATGGAGCCTGAGAAAGTAGCCCTGTTCTCGGAGATCCGTAGGAATGGGCCAAAGAGGCTATGTTTGTGCTACCTGTTTCTACTCAAGGTCATGGCTGATTGGGCAAAGGGAAATCACTTAGCCTAAGGTGGACCAATCAGAGTCTTTCCTTTGAGGAGGATGTAGGGTATACACAGTTCTGAATCTCATTTCTCAATAAACAAGAGATTTCAGGCAGGTGTGTCAATGTCCTAGATTTTACTTTCTTCACCTGTAACATGGCAATAAAATAATGCCAACCTCATAAATTGGTTTTCTGATTACTTAAGAAAACAGCATGTTTTAAGTCTTTAGTGTGTACCTGGTAAATAATGTTAACACTAGGTAGCTAGAAAGTGTTAGCTCATCTTCCTATAACTGATTTAGAACTGGAAGTAAAAAGGGCCAGCAAAGGGCCGGGGATATAACTTAGCGGCATAAGCACTTGCCTGGCAAGCCCAAGGTCCTGAGTTCAACCCCCGCTACTACAAAAAATAACAAACAAACCAAACAAACAAAAAGGGCCAGCAAGATAGTGCAGCGAACTAAGCACCTGCTTGGGCAAGGACCAGGGTTTAATCCTGAGTCCCACATGCCTCACGGCCCCATCCCTGGGGTGCACGGAGCTAGGGACAGAGTCTGGGCATGGTGGGGCAAGCCTGTAATCCCAGCACTGGTGAGGTTAAAAACAGGCGGATCACCACAAGTCCAATCTGCATAGTGAGACCCTATACCAAATACACAAATAGAACTGGAAGTAAGAGACACTCACAGCTAGCAGGGTGGTCTTTCTGGAAACACACAAGCTGTAGCTTGCCTTGCTTGACCAGCTGCAATCCAACACACCAGACACAATGATCCAGAGAAAAAAAGGCCAAAACCAAGAGAGACTGTACCACAGAAGAGGCTGCATCAGAGAGAAGCAAGGTGCAACAGATATAAGTAGAGACCAGGAAGTATGGACTCATCAGTGGCTTTGGAACTTTGCATAGTCTTGTTCCATCCTGAAGCCCATCTGGAAGCCTCCTAATGAGCTCTGGGACCTTTGGTGCTGCTTGCAACCCATGACTCTCTCGCACAAGTGGAGAACGGAGAAGGGCTGCCACTTCCTGGATGAAGAACATGCTTCCATCTCTCCCCACTGCAATTCCAGCATGAGGGACTCAAAAGGCACTCAGTGAATGCACGGAAAATAACCAAATGAACTAACCAACATGAAATAACACGCTAACAACTGCTGCACCAAGACCACGTGCGCTGGCATTTGGGCTCCTCCTTCCCCATCCTTCCCCTGGGCCCTGGGCCTCACCTGCAGGACAAGCAGCATCTGGACAATGGACGGAGGCAGCTTGGACTGTGACAGCAGCAGCAAGTCACCCGGCTTCACCTTCAGCAGGACCAAGTCACGAAAGCCGAGCAGGGAGATCTGGCGGATGGTCAGCTCCTGTCCCTGGGGAGCAGAGGAGGTGAGAGGTGAGAGCTCGCTGGCTCTGCCACCAGCCAGGTGGCATTCAGGACAATGCACATTTGCAGAGCACCCAGGACAAGCCAGGTGCAGGCATCCGCAAGGCTCCGTGGGGCTGTCAGAATGATGGCCCAGCTCTGATCTTCCAGATTTAAAGCTTTAAGAGAAGATGTGACTCATGTTTATAACTAACCCGAGGAGAATGAAGGATGCATATGATATGCTATCAAGTACGGATGAGTGGTTAAGAAGGAGGAAGAGGGGAAAGGGTGAGGGAGAAACAAAAGGAAAGATCAAGGCTGCTTCCTCAACTTCAGGAGCTATTTACAGACCCATCATATGCCAGTGAGAGGAAATGTAAGACCTCGATTATTTACATAAGATTAGATCCTCAGATAAATACAAGTAACAGGAAGAAAATAATTGGGAATGTAGAAGGAAAGGGACTTCTCAGCTGTGGGGATGGGAGACAGAGGATGAAACTAACAGTCATGAGGGGGGCCAGCGAGATGGCTCAGCGGACTAAAGCACCTGGTTAGGCAAGCTTGGGCAAGCTTAGGCAAGCACAGGGACTGCGGTTCCATCCCCAGCACATGTCGTACCAGCCCCGCCCCCAGCACAGGCCAGAGTCCAGGTATAGTGGCACATACATGTAATCCCAGTGCTGGGGAGGCTGAAAGGAGGAGGATCACCATGAGTCTGTGCTGTGCAGTGAGACCCTACAACAACCAAATACATAAAAAAAAAAAAAAAATAGAAGGCCATAGTCACAAGAGCCAGCATTCATTAAGCTCTATGTGCTACGTACGATTCTGAATGTTTAGATATAAATATTTAATCCTCATGACTACTGCCATAACCTCAATATTTGGGTCAAATTTCAACGTTGAAATCCTAAACGCCTGTAGGTAATAGTATTTGGAGCCGAAGCCTCTGTGAGGTGATTAGGTCGTAAGGAGGAGGCCCTCAGGAATGGTATCAGTGCCTTTATAACAGCAACCCCACAGAAACCATCACCCTTTTCCCCATGTGAAGACACAGCGAGAAGCAAAAAGTAGGCCCTCACCAGACACCTGACCTCCCTGCACCTTAATCTTGCATTTAACAGCTGCCAGAACCAAAAGGAAAACATTCATGTAGTTCATAAGCCACTTTCCTGGTGGCATTCTGTTACAGCAGCCTGAATGAAACAACACAGCCATCCTCCGGGGGAGGCACTATTATAAAATCCATTCTACAAGGGCTGGGGAGATAGCGCAGTGGACTAAGCACCTGCTTAGGCAAGTACAGGGACTGGGGTTTGATCCCCAGCATGGGCACTGGCCCTGCCCCCAGGCACACCAGCCACAAAGTCCAGGCCTGGTGGCACACATGTGTAATCCCAGTGCTGGGGAGGCTGAGGCAGGTGGATCACTATGAGTCGGAGCTGCACAGTGAGACCTTGTACCTAATACATAAAAATAAATACATAAAATCCATTCTACAAATGAAAACTTATAAAGATCAGAGAGGGACAATTATTTACTCAAAATGGAACTAGGTACAAACTCAAACCGTACAATTTTAGAGCTCCTGAAAGGTTCCAAGATAGAAAGAAGAAGATAATTTTCTAAACTTTCCTTCACATGTCTGTGCGTGTGCACAAAGAGAGCAAACACGCATGCACGTATGAACATACAGAGAACACACCAAAAACTGGTCACAACTGATAGAGCCAAATTTGTCCTTACGGGGTGTCCTCACCCCAAACAGAAGATAGCTTCCTGCCCCTTAAGCCTGCAGAGGTTGAGGCAATTTTACACTGGTCATAACCCCTTAGGGTTTTATAGGGACACTTACTGTATTTGCAGCGTCCCCCCAACAAAAAAAAACCAACATTGTACAGACTGAATAGACTCAGTTTAACCACCCCTCACCCTCTACTGTCCTTCTGATCACCCTCAGTGACACTTTTCCCCCTTCCCAAGTTCTTCCAGTTTCTGTTTCCCAAAGCATATCCTAGTGTACTCAGCTATTTAGGTGAGCAGCGCCATCCTGTGCAAACATCAGAGTGCATTTGGGTAGAGGAAGGTGGCTAGGATGTCACCAGTGATGCCATCCCAGGAGACTCTGCAGGACATGCAGCCCATCGCTGACTAAAGCCTGAGAGGCTGTGAGGCACACTGCTGGTTCTCTTCCTCTGGAGAACTCTGATAACAGCCTGGGCCCGCAGCACCCCCACCATCACCATCACCTTGGGAATCACTAGAAATATGGACTCCTCAGGCTCCACCCCAAATACTCTACAGCACAAGCTCTGAGACAGGGTTCCAGGAATCTAGGTTTTGCCAAGCCCAACCTACTGCCTGGCTCTGAGCGAGTCACCTGCCAAAGGTCTCAGGATGAAACATTCTGGACTCTGCACAGAAAATCTCTGGTCCTAAAAACATTGCCCTTGGATCTATGAAGGACAAGAACTCATTGTCCAGACACTTCTGGGGAGAGGGGATGTTATCACAAAACAATGCTGCACAGGCCTGCTGCATGGAGGCCGACTGGCATCGCCCAGGCTGCTCTGCTATACCCCAAGAGGGCAGAGAGCCTGGTGTGCGGTACATGGGCCAAAAATGCTGCTTCCACCGAGCTGCGTTTGCACCTTCCTGGGCACTGCTGACTGACTGTACCTTGTCATTTCTTGCCTTTTGCAGAAGATGTTTGCACATATCTGGTATCATCCACCATAACTTAAAGTCATGATACCCATAACCAGACTTTCAGATATAGTTTCATATCTATTTTGTATCTTAGTTCTTCACATACCATTGAAATAATTACAAATTGTGTTGGGTACTTTTGATAAGTTATCTTAATTAGGAGGCATGTTCACTGGGGGGAAGGGTAACATGATGTAGCCCAGGCTGGTCTCAGACTCTGGAACTCGGGATACTTCTGCCTTCCGAGTGCTGCCATTACTGTCATACCTGCAGGCCTGACTCTCTACTTGGCTCTCTCTCTCTCTTTCAGTGTCTTAAAAATCAGGCAGGTGGGACTACGTCTCATATACTGACGGATGGGGATGTGAAGGAACCAGTACTCAACCCTGCCATTCTGTTGAGTCCCAGGCCCCTTTGGTCCTGTTGGATGCCGGGTGCTGGCAGGATCGGTCCAATTATTATTCACAGCCCCTTCATGAATGATGGAACTACTTCATCTAAACCACAGGACACAGAGAAAGGAGACCGGGACATGCAGACTTCTAGAAGAGCAACCTGGTGCAAAGAGGCGAGAGCAAAGAAAAATAAGGAATTCTAGGAACCGGAGGTCGACAAGTGCCAGTCAATTCCCAGGACCGCTCTTCCTAGAATCCCCTACAGGCATCCAGAAGCCTCTTGGAACTTGCAAGCCAGCACCCCAGATAATGACAGTCTTCATTTCTTTGCCTTTTTCTTTTTTACTGTATTTCATTTTTAAAATCATAAAGTAATAGATACTTATAGGCAAAGACTTAACCAGCTAAGAAATACAATTAAAATAAACAGTAAAATGCTCTTCTAGTCTCATTCTCACTCCATATCGGCAACTGTTCTTAAAGGGCTATTCTTCATCCTCTGGATTTTTCTAGAAACTGTCTACATCTATAAAATTGTATGCATGACCTTTAAATACACATAGAGATTATATCTTTCCTATTGTCACATAATCTGCTTTTGTTTAACTTGGCATATTTTCAGTATCTTTCCATCAGCGCAGGTTGCTTTTTCCCTTTACCCTTTTTTAAAGACTGTATCATACTTCACTAAATCAACACACTCAACAATAGTCATCTCCTCAACAAGATTTCTCTGGGGGTGGCCACAATGAAGATGTCATGAACACATGCATCTGTGTTTCTCTGAGCACCTTCCTCACATCCATTTGACCATTTCTTCAAAGTGAAACTGTATGATCAACATAGGCTTTAAACTGACTCATACACACTGCTGCACTACCATTGGAAAAGACTGCACTGAGAGTCCTAGCCCAGGTCCAGTGAGTGTGCGGAGAGCTTCCTGCTACCCTGCGCCGGCGGGACCAGTCCCAGCCCAGGCGCAGAGTGAGCCGGACCCTCTCCCAGCCCCTTGGGCCGCCCCCCACCACTCCGCAGTGCTTCCCCCACCCCGCCCGCTGAGTAGGATTTTCTACTGAGTTCTGGGAGCCCCCAGACCCAGTCCTAGCCCAGGTCCGGT